ACCGTCTCTTTTCTTCACCAGGACTACCGGTGATGACCAAGTGCCATCAGACGGCTCCAGCACCCCCTGATCTACCATATCCTGCACGCGCTGCTTTACTTCTGTCTCCAGGTGTGGGGGAATTCGTCTGGGAGCTGATCGCACCGGCTTGGCAGTGCCCGTGTCGATTACGTGCTCAACTAGTGAGCCGTGACCAAGCTGGTCTGAGAACAACGAGGGGTACCGGCGCAACAGAGCAAAGAACTTTTCCCGCTGCTGACTCGTTAGCGACACATCAGACAGATCGACCAAATCCTCCAAGGAACCCGCGCCAGAGCTGGGACCATTTGACACCCCATTGTCTGCATCATTCAGCTTGACCGAACACACAACACACAACCAGCCGCGCCTCCGGCCGCGCTCCACACACACACCCTCTGCCCAGCGCTCTGCTCTGCTCTGCTCGCGCGCCGACGCGCGACCGCTTCCCGCCACAGCCGGGAACACGATTTAGCCGTGCATCCTTCACGGCTCTCGGCCACTAAATAATATTATACCTACTTACAATAAGCTTACCAAACAAACAATCCAGACTATCTCCTGGATCACAACGTTACTAATTTTAGTTTCCTTATATCGTTAGTTTCTTATCTACAGGTTTTTTTACAGATCCGCCTAGGATGAGCCGCGGAATGAGGTCAGACATGGCAGATTTTACAATCGAACGCCGACTCAATCGACCCCCCGAACGGGGCATCACTTTGAGAAGGAAACAGGCCGAACGGTCGCCCTCTTTAGTCTCAATCAGTCAAGCGCTTACGGTTTAACACGGAGAAGTATTGTTTTTTCGGGAGACGGGTTTATTCTTGAAGATAAATTTTTCTACGGTCAAATAAGAGTGCGGCTGAGCTTTATAGCACGATATAAAAGTTTTTTCCCCAGTGTTTGGGACTAGCAGCGATAAGCCCTCTCACTTATTGAGGGGTATGATATACCCCACCCCTAGGTTTTTTTGCGAACAACTCGCGTAAAAAGCGGCCCAGCTGGCAAAAGTTTTAGTAGGTATTCTCGTCCTCACTTCAATTATACACATTTTCCTGAAATTGTAATTACCCTGTTCCCTGACCCTCATTCTCATTGACCTGTGGCCTGTTTCTTGAGTCATTTTCAGGCAAGTAGCTTTTTAGGATGGTGAGCTGTTTTCAGGCAGGTAGCTGTTTTGCAACGTTTGGGAAATCGATACCTAAGCCCTCACACTTTCTGCGGTCAGTTAGATTCCTTACGCACTGCTGTGCCGTTTAGTACTTTTTAATAAAGGTATTTTGTTTCATTTTCGGAAAGCCGGAAATTTCGGACGCTGCGCGGGGGATATTTACCCCAAATGTCACCCTGCCTGTGACGGTCTGGATCCACCGGTATAGGGTCAGGCGGCCTACTATTTCTTTATTTTTATTTTCAAAATAAAAATAAAAATCATGGCATCAGGGCTGTGACGAAAAATAAGTGGCCTAAATCCGATGAGAAAACCGGATTTGGGGGTACCCTAGGTTTGGCTTCTGAGCCTCTGGCCCCCCAGTGAAAATTCCTTAGAGGAGGCCCTGGGGGCCCCTGATCGCCTGGGGCCCCTAGTCGCCAAGGGGGCCCCTGGTAGCGGGGCCTGGTCGCATGGGGCCCCTGGTTGCCTGGGGCCCCTGGTCGCCTGGGCGGCCTGGAGGCCCCCGGGTGACCTAAGGGCCCCTTCGGAAGCAGGTGGCCCCCTCCTGGGCGAAATCCTGGGTACGTGCCTGCTTCGAATACTTATAAATTTTTAAGATTGGCTGTATGGACTATGGGCCCTTTATAAGCCTACTGTTTACATGGCCGTCGGTGGGATAGAGCCCGTCTTCAAGTAAGGAAGGACGCAGCAGGGGCGGATCCAGCCGATCCGTTTGGGGAGGGCAAGAGTTTCCGACCTATCCGACGACCCCTATCCACCCCGCACTGGGAGGAATGCAAGATAAATTTGGAATGGGGATGCAAAATTTTCTCAAGGGGCCCCACTGAAGGTTTTGGGCCCCTTTACTTTTTCAAGCTGCCAATCATCGATTTATGAAAACCAAAAGTTAACCCGCGCACCGACGGGGGTCTGCGCCAACTTAGTACCGACGGGGGGGGGCGGATGACCGCCCCCCCCTGAGATCTCGAGAACGAAGCAAGATAGCGACAAGCGGTAAACGGCATCGGATACGCACGGTCAAGATCTACAATTTTTACTAAGGTCATTTTCAGGTCAGGTCAAAGATGACGTCACAGGGGTCAAAAAAGTCAAAATGGCGGCGCTAAATATGGAGAGAGTTTTTCTCGAATAACTTTCGAATTAGTCAAGATAGGAACAAACTAAGGGCATCATCGTGATCCTCTCGTCAATCCGCATCGAATGATATACATGTTGACCTCGAAAGGTCAAGGTCAAAGGTTGACCTCAGGTCACGTGACCTCGAGGTCATCATGTATATCATTCGATGCGTCTTGACGAGCTGAACACAATGAGACCATCCACGCGTCTGTATCTTGTTCCTGTACGGAGTTATTGGCCAAAAACCTTTGGTGACCTTTGATGACGTCACATGACCTCACAGCTGCCCAACAGCAAAACAGACCTCAAGGTAGTGAAGGTTGATCGTATATGAAGTCATGTATGGTATATGGGGCCATTCCTACCCGTTTTAGTGGTAAAAACAGGGAGTTGATTTTTCCCCCATTGACTTATAATGGGGAGGTCGCGAAATTGACCTGACCTTAGGTCACCGATATCAAAATTTCGAGATATACAAATTGTAGCTACTAATGACCTAATAACATCCTGCGACTTTCAAAGGCCTCCGACATCTACTGTAGCTCTGGCACGGTGACAAAGTTGCAAAAAAGTGACTTGAGGTTGGGTCATTCAAAGTGACCTGGTGACCTGACCTTGAAAGGTAGGAGGTTCAAACTTGCACACCATGTGTAAAATTGATAAGGGAATAGTCATACTAAATTTCGCGGCGCTACGCGCCGCGGTTTTCCCGCTATTCGCGAAAAACCTCAGGGGGGGGGCGGATATCCGCCCCCCCCCCGTCGGTGCGCGGGTTAAGGAAACAATCCATACAGGAAGTTATCCAAAATGTTTGCATATTTCAGTGAACCTCACAAAATCACAGCATACCTAAATAAGTGAAATGCGACAAGTTTTTTTTTACTGGGTGATTTTTCTTATGCTAACCACCACCCGCAAGCCTCAAACCACTTTTCTGGATCCGCAGTGGACCTTTGAGAGCCCTACGGGTCCGCTCTTACTTACAAGCCGTAATCGCCACGCCATATGTGGAAGGCTTTTGGTGTCAATACATGCATACATACATACATACATACATCATACATACATACATACATACATACATACAAGACCGTCAAAAACCTCTGGAAACTGAATGACTCAATGGAGGCTCCTCCAGAGACCTTCACGACTTCTCAGATTGAATGAGCCCCGACCAGGGTCGGTTCCTCAGAAGGTGCTGAAGGGTTTCAGAAAGCAGCGTAGGCTCGAGTCTTGAAAGTTCTTCATAGGGTTCTTCATAGGCCACCGTGGGCCCTTGGAGCCTTCGTTACAGGACTCTCAGAGGTCAGCATGACCCCTGCAGTCTGCCTGCATTGAGGCCCGATCAGAGGCCGTCGTGGGGCCCTCAGATGCCAGCGTGGGCATTTGAAGCTTGCGTTGGGTCCTAGAGGTCGTCGTGAGGGCCCTCAGGGACCGTCCGTCTCGGGCGGAATCAGTGTGGAAGTCGTTGTGAGGGCCCTTAGAAGCCTTCAAGAGGACCATCAGAGGTCGTCATGAAGATCCTTGGCCATCATGACGGTTTTCATAGGCCCTGGGCCCTCAGATATCTTTGCAAGGCCCTCAGAGGCTGTGGTAAGGCCATCAGAGTCCATCGTTAGGGCCATCAAGAGACCGTCACAGGTTCCTCAGATGCCAGCATAGCTCCTGCAGCCTGGTTGTGTTGGGGCCCTCAGAGGCCGTCGTGGGTCATCTAAAGCCCATGGGCACTCAGACCTGAGATGGGTCTAGGACCGTGTCACGAGGGCCCTCAGAGACCGACGTGGGGGCCCTCAGAGGCAGCGTAACCCCTGGAGTCTCCGTGGGGTCCTCAGATGCCGTCATGGGGCACCAAACGCGGTTCGGGACACTCCTAGCCGGTGAGGGCCCCAAAGACCAGCATAGGGCGCTCCTGACCAACAACTGGACGTCTGATGATCGGTGATCCCACATGATCGTTCGTTTCCCGATCACTGGTCTTTGGGAGAAAATGTATTTGGTGGTGTGACAGGCCTCTTATACGGCTTTTGGGGGGTGCAAAAAGCTATGTTTGCACTCCAATGTTTTTCCATGGGTCTGGAGCTGAAACCCCTGCACCCTCTATCCGCGGATTTCCGCTGCCCTTGAGCACCGAGATGACCAAGCGACTTTACAACGCCACACTATCTACATGCAATCAGTTCAGGGAGTTTGATCTATTTACAGCATTCTGGCATAAGTCATCAGCAGCGAACGTCCAGCTCCTTCCTTCGGAATGGCCGTCACCGAAAGTCCTGCTTTACGTCCAGATAGCCCTCGACGCCATATTCAATTTTATCATCTCTACATGCTTTGGGAGGGGCAAAAGGACAGTCTTGCCCACATGATTTAGCTTTGGGGAGGGCAAATGCCCATTTTGCCCTCCCCTGAATCCGCCACTGGGAAGCAGGGATCCGATGGTTTTGGGTTGACTTGGCCCGATTGGTCTACTTAGAGGAAAGCAATGGCAAAAAACGCTTTCATGGTGGCTTATCCTCTCCTGTTGAATGGCCCGTGAAATGTTGAAAATGGCCTTACAGTTGCCGGGTATGTTCTCGTTTGTTAGCCTTATGGCTGTCTGTTTTTTTAGACGCCCGCCGAAATCGCTGTATTTTAATCAAAAGTTCGCTTGTAATTATTGAAACCTTGCGCCCTGTTAAATAGGACGAAATTGGCGCAGTTCGTCGATACCCTGGTTCGTCGCATCGCTTTGGCTTGTTTACTGAAGGAAATAAAAAAAAAACTCAATTCGGTCAATTGAGAAAAAGGAGGGGCCGTCAAAGGTAGGAATGTTTTTTGATAAATTCCATGTAATTTCTCCTCAGTCACATGTGTGTATTTGATCACCAGTGCCGATGCTCCAAGGTCTTTTGCTGGAGGAAGTTTGTTTTGGGTCAGGGCGTGGTCAAAGATGGATTATGGAATGATGGATTACCTATTTTGATGTGTGGGTGATGGGATATAGGAGGACTTTGAATGTTTATTGTTGGATGGAAGCAGTTTTGAATGCCAAAATGCTTAATTTTGTCAAGCAACATCACACCCTCATTCTTTGCTGTGTAATGGGGGCTGCGGCATTGTCGTATTGTACATCAGCGCACTGCCTGTTTTCTTATTTCAGTTTGGGAAACTACGAGGTGAAGATCCAAAAATCGATTGGTCAATAAATGGACTTTTGATGACCATGTATGGGCATAAATGCAGCTCCCGCTACTAAGGGTGAAAAACGGTATAACAAGCCGGTTCTTGCGGTATCACGTCCACTTATTGGAGAGAAAAAAGTTCCATTTTCCACTAGGAATTATGAGATGATGTTTTTCGTACTCCAGCATAGATGGGTAGCCATACGGCTTCCACGGTTGACAGTGATGACATCAGTCATCTTTTGCAAGCTCGTTAAAGATTTGGGCTGTACGGGGATGGGATTTGAACCCCGGGCCTTTGGATTAGCGCTCCAATGCTCTACCAATCCAATGAGAATGATCCACTAGGAATTAGCGTGATTTGATTAAATTTGGCGAATTGATTTGAAAATGGCGATAGGAAAACGGCGTTTAGTATGAGCAATATGAAAACAGCTCTTATCCCACCTCTCACCTCAGTTGGGCAAACTAGACTTTTGGAATTAAAATATGGAGGCATCAATAATTTGATTCTGGTGGGAGGAGCCATGACCAAATATGGGCATGGAATCAATTTTTTGATTCATTTGGGTACACTTTTGACTTCAAATGTACTGTTACGGTTGAAAAAAAGGCCCATGACGGTGAGATTTTTCTTTAAAAAGGTAGAAAAATGTGGTAGGTTTGCAAAAAGTGTTACCTCAAAGCTAAGAAATTGTCCCTTTGGCCTTGTGAATGGGAAAAAGACAGAGCCACTGTCCATCACGTAAAAGCTGTTATGAGGAAATCACGCTGTATGTTATTTTTGTACCATGAATCACATACTAAACAATCAGTATTTGTGTAAAATGGCAAAATGAAATTTTTAAACCCCTAATTAGCATTGTTGTAGTGATTTTATATTATTTATATGGTTTTTACCTGTTGCTTCAGTTTTTGTATTCTTGACATTTAAAGATTGTGAATTGTTATCAAATGTAGTGAAGGTAAAGTACAACAATGCTATAGGTATCTGTTGTGGTGCTGAGGATACCACTAAATGAGAATAATAGCAAGATAAATGCTGTATTCTTCTAAGTCATTGTTGCCTATCTGTTAACGTTACCTGTGAATCAAAATAATGATTAGCCAGCTGATGGGGAATCAATATTATGATTATCTGTTTAAAGTGAATCAATTCCTTGATTGCCTTTCACTACCTATAGAATTCATATTGTTATGATAGGAGCAATATTATTTTGCTTAGGAGATAGTTCCAGCATTTCTGTTCAAGATCAGGCATGCTCCTTCTTGAAACACTCTCTTATTTTTATGTGATTGGTAAGTTAGAAATGGTCTGCATTTATGCCCAAATATGGTCATAAGGAATCAATCTTTTGATGCCTCCATATTTTGATTCCAAAGGTCTAGTTTGCCCAACTGACCTCAAAATGCTGAGGTACTTTCCATGAAAGCAGGCTAGTTTGTTCTGTTGTTTCTCAAAACCTTTATAAGCCCCTCTAGCCATGACCTTCCCCATGAAAATGCTGTTTTCATTGCTTTTTTCAGCTTCCTTTGGACTTCATTCCTTCCTCAGCTTTCCTCAGCTTCCCTTAGCTCAACTTTTGCCTTACTTATGTTATATGTATTCCCCCTGAAATACTGTTTCATACCACACTACTGGCAGCTAAAAGTGGCTATGAGCACTTTTGGTGTCCAAGGAATCATCAACAAATTTCAAAGCAAGCAATGCAGTTTGTTGAGGCTTCCATTGACACTTAACAAATTAGTAACCACTAGAAGAATGCTGTGAAATGGCTCAAGAGGCTGGACCTTTAACAAATTCCCCAAGTTAAAATTCTTCCCTTTTTTGATAGGGGAGACCCGGGAGGTATTGGCCAGTTTTGTGAAAAGGCAATTTTCTTCCAGTGGGCAGTGGCTGGGCCTGGTTTTCCCCTCTGTAGTTCTGTACACGTGGAATAGCCTTTCGCCTGTAAAGTGTGCTTGGTATTGGGCATTTGGAATCCACTATTTTGTCTCAAGATAACTTATAATAATTCATGCGTTTTTTCGACCTTAGAAATGTTCTCTCAGAAATGTTCTTGAGGTCTGTAAACAGTACTCAATACTCATCCAAGCTCCTCCCCATTTATTTCTTCCATAGGAGTGACAAAAACAGATACATTGCATTGTCTATCGGTGAAGTTTGGTATGTCACATTTGCCATTAAACATTGCTACCCCTCCCCCCCCCACACACACACACATTATATCCCCACTCATACCATAGCCAAGAGCAGGCTGTGTATGCATTATTGTATGTCCAAGGACTTAAACTGGAGCACTGATCACTGAAAAGTGAAAGGTGTGCCAATGTGTAGCTGTACCACTTACCAGTGTGGGGTGTCAGCTATTGCATGATCTTCTCATATTGATGGAATACTTGACAATAGTGTCATAATGTTGTATTTGTGTGCTTTTGTCTTGTGGTTATTCATGTAATTGATTGTTATCTACTGTTAGCTTTATGTGTTTCTTTCTCACTGTTGTATCCCCTGCAAGCAAGAGAGGTAGTTACTGTTGTGACTTACCCTTTTATGTGCATACATGTGTCACTTTACAACAGCTTCACTATCTTTCTGTCTATCATGTGTTGATGTTATAGGACTATTCCAGGATCATGGCTGTAGTACTCCCAAGTATGCAGGTAAACAGTTTGCCGAAATGCACCATATCGCCACAAGCATGGCTGAATGGGCATGGTCGCACTGCCTCCCTCTCTCTCTCGTAAAAGCACCTAAGGAACGTTCAGCGTATTTCATCGAACACAAGTCAATAGTCACATATTGCAAGATCAGGCGAATGACACCGCTTTTCCCACCAATTATTACGCGATGCTGATGCGCGACATTAAGGCATTTGTCAACCAGTAATAGGTACAGAAAATGCTTTGTCTGGCGTCTCCGGTCTTCAGCCGTGTTGTATCATTATATCTGCTTTTAGTGACACTAGTATAGCACACAATGCACACGGCGCTGGATTTTTATTTCCCGTGTGATTTGTGCCAGTGGTGGTCGGTGGGACGGATGTGGTCGCCGCGCCTCCGAGCACAGTTACACCAGCCGAGCTGCGGCTTTCTTGGCCACTTTGCTCGGCACCCACGCCTCCCCACGCACGGTGCGCCGCTGCCGGGACGAAGTGCGCACACCGCCACAGCCGGGACACTCTTCACAGCCACCTTGGGGACCTGGACGGGTCGCCGGGACAAAGAGGCACCGGTGTGGGCCCACCTGCGTGTGTTGGTGTGTTGCACAGGCAGCGTCCCTCAGGTTCTGACGGCGAATGGTGGTGGCCAACGCCTCGCCGCTGACACCGTTCCTGGTCCTAGGTAGTATCGGTGGATTCAGTTGTTTAACGAAGCTCAGTTTTCTGTTTTATGTCTGAATTCAACAACGGAGGGCTGATCTTCCCTTGAAACTACTAATCATGAGTAGCTTAACCCGCGCCCTGCTGGGGGGGTGTTTGAACACCCCCCCCCCCTTGTGGTTTTTCGCGAATATCTCAAAAACGGCGGCGCGGAGCGCCGCCGTTTTTGGTACACCTTATCATACATCAATTCTACACATGTTGTGAAAATTTCAGACCAAGGTCATTCAAGGTCAGGTCACCAGGTCACTTGAAGTGACCTCACCTCATAAAAACTTTCAATGTCTGTCATAGCTACACCGAGTGACCGATCGCGTTGAAACTTTCAGCGATTGCTAAGAGCAATAGCATGTACAAAATGTATATCTCAGAATTTTGATATCGATGACCTAAGGTCAGGTCAATTTTGCGACCTCCCCATTATAAGTCAATGGGAGAAAATTGAAATGCGCCTCTTTTGGATGAAAGACATTATAAACACTCCCAAACACCGAATTACAAGTGGTTTAGACACACTGAACTTGAAAATGGTGTCCGTGACCCTTGTTTATGCCCTGAGGTCATCTTAGGTCACGAATGGTATCTAACAGTTTTTCGCAAATAACTTTTGATAGAGGCATGCTAGAGCGATGAAAACGCCTTAGATGTGTTCAGCTCGACGATACGGATCGACTGATATGCAACATGACCCTGTCCGGTCAGGTCATGACCTTGACCTGAGGTCAAATTTTCAAGTTGACCTTTCAAGGTCAAGTCATAGTTCATTCGATGCGTCTTGACGAGAGGAACACGATGCCGGTAAAAGTAAGCTCGTACAAGGCTTGGGTCAAAAGTTATTGCAGAAAAACTGTTGTCGAAAAAATCGGCTATTTTTGCAGTTTTTGCCCCCTGCAGGCAAAACCGTTGACGTTAGGTCAAATCTGAGAGAATTACTCAGATAGGGCGTTAATAGGGCTATCGAATGCGCTTTTCCGCGGCGCTGTAGCTCTATTGGTTCCCGAGTTATGCGTTGGCTTCTTGGAAATTTTCGACATTCGACCTGGAAATCGGCGAAATTTTGCCTTCAATGACCTCTGGTGACCTGACCTTTGACCTGACCAAAAAATTGACCGAAGTGATTTCGTCATTATTTTTTACGCTCTTTCGAACGCCGCCTTCCGCGTATCGCTACGTGGCTCAGGAGCCGAGTTACAAGGGGGGGTGTTCAAACACCCCCCCCCCCAGCAGGGCGTGGAAATCCAGGACCCCCAGCAGGGCGCGGGTTAATCGACAAAGTTCTCTCTCATCACTGAAATTATGTTAACAAATTTCGTTTAAAGACGTGCGATGTCCCAACATCACTGCCCAAATTGCAAAGGCGATTAATCATGTCCCTTCAAAAAAGTGTTCGTTTTCGCCGTGTGTAGGTGTGAGTGTCCGGGAAAGTTACGGCTCTGAGCATTGGTAGCTGCCGGGAACCGGATGCATTGTGCGTTGCCCGTCTGTCCGTGTCGCTTATCGTCCTGTTTGGTGGCAGATGTCGAACGTACAGCAGCAGCGTATCCTGGTGGACCAGCTACGCCGCGAGGCCAACATTCGGCGCATCAACGTCTCCATCGCCGTGGAGGACATCAAGGTCTGTACGGCGCCAGCCGCTCGGGCCGAACGGCGCCGCCGGGCGCAAATCCCCCGCGGCCCGTGATGCCGTTGGTCTGGGAGATGCCTTCCTTTCCGCCTCGCGCTAGCATTAGATAAGAGTCATAAGACAATGACTATATCGTTGAGAGCTGCTGCGAGGAGCATGATAAATGTAGGAAGTATCATTAGAATATATGACCTTCTCCTCGGAAAATGACCAAATGAGTGAAAATGATTATTTATTGATGAATTGATGATATTTCGGTCACAGACCTTCATCTAAATCGAATTCGTTAAATCGTACAAGGCAAAAGTAGTGAGTGAAATGCGCAACAATTATCGACTGCCTGTAGAAAGTGAAAATTCAAAATTCGTTTGTCTCGTGGTCGTCATGCAGGGCTAACATCACACTTCGAGGTTCGCATCGCTTTAATCGTATAAACGTATCAAATCGTATACAACAATATCGAACAACAAAACATCAACAAAACATCTGATCATACACCCTATGCACTTAAAAAGCATGCACATTAAAAAGCAAAAATATAGCTACACCCTAAAAGGTACTTACACATGAGCAGAAGTTCGGTACAACCAGATTGGCAAAAGCATATTCATCTAAATACATGCTTGCTGGCATCATCAATTCATCAATAAATAATCATTTTCACTCATTTGGTCATTTTCCGAGGAGGTCATATATTCTAATGATACTTCCTACAAGACAATGACTATTTGGCTTGAAATTGGACTTGTTTCATGCTATGAACAAATAATTGTCAAGCTCGAAACTTGTTTGGAACGATTCCGTTTGAAGTGCATCTGCAAAGCTAAGTTAATTGTTTATTGTTATCGCCTCCTGCTAGAATGCTTTTTCAGTCTAGATCAAAGGTACATAAGCTCGTCGCTTCGTAACTTCATTTGAGGTTGCCAAATTATTGTTTATGCAGAAGAATGCCATCTTCCATCAGAAATGCGACTTAAGGAACTGTTAATTAGTCGGTGATTGGCTGACGCCGTCGAAAAGTTGGTGATAAACTGGGCATTCTTCAACCCCGACGTCGGTCTGTTTTCAGAAATACATCACCGACCACGAGCAGGATGACTACCTACTGGTGGGCTTCTCGTCTCAGAAGGCCAACCCCTTCCGCGAAAAGTCGTCATGCAGTGTGCTTTAACAAAGGTATCTATCTCTACCTGCCTACCGAGTGTAATTCAACCCGAACAGGCCAATTGGAAATGTAGGATGTCAATTTCTATTCCATCGCGATTTGTTTTGACTGCTGTTTCCTCGGCTTTATTGATACTTTGATCGTTGTCAAAAAGACACGGGAAAACCAGCTGACGCTAATTATGTAACTTTGACTGGTGAATTTTGGTTGCAGCTGGTTGTCGAATATCACTTTTTGCTTACTATCAGACGAATTTGTTATTTGTTGACGAAATGCATTGTCTCTAAATGCAGCATCGGCCGAAGAACCCTTTCCATGTTTTGCCCGTTGTGATTTTCATGGATCCGTAACTAATTGGATACTGCTGTTCTGTTTCCAGGTATTACTTTCTACTGATTTTCGCGCCTATTGGCGCTTTCATTGTGGCACAGCCGACTGCCGCGCGCTATGCTTCGCTTCTCCAGGAGCCGGGCCGGCGGGGGAGGCCGACTGGCCGGCCACCCACTGCTGGCCGTCCCGCCGCGCGCCCGTGTCTCCTCTCTGTACGTGTTGGTGTCCGCCGGACGTCGGAGCGCCCCGCACGCTTTTGTCGTGTCAACGCCGGCGCTGAACTGTTTTAGGACGTGATTGACTCTGCCCACCGGCACAAAAACGATCGTTGACGAATAAACCGAAAACTGTAGACGTGTAACGATGATGATGGTGTTATTGGTCAACACGAATTACAAACCAGCCAGAGCCTTTGTCGGTAGCAGAGGAATAATTGGATACCTTTCTGTAAACCGTGGTAATTGAATGGGAAACTTTCAGTACGACAATTTAAACAGCACCAAATGCCGGTTTAGCATTCAAAACATGTAATTATTTAAAGCCCAAGGAACGATTTTTCATCGGATTCGAACGATGGCAGATCGTTGAAAACCGACATCCACGCCTCTTCCCCCACAAGGAATGCTGGGTTCAAAAGGTCAATGATTCGCTAGTTGGACTGGAATGAGCTAATGCTGATGGGATACGCAAACGCTGACAATCACAGAGCATATAGGGAATGTATTCATCTTCCATCAACATATATAGATATTGGATATAGATCTTTGACCACCGATCCGGGCAGCACGCTCCCCCTTAGCAGACCACGGTCTGCAGCTGCCAGGGCACTCTCCCTCAGCAGACTAAGGCTGCCGCCCCCCCCCCCCCCCAGCAAACTCCGGTCTCCGGCTGCCAGAGCACGCTCCCTCAGCAGGCCGCGGTCTCCGGCTGCCGGACACGCTCCCTCAGCAGGCCGCGGTCCCCGGCTGCCGGGCACGCTCCCTCAGCAGGCGGCGGTCTCCGGCTGCCGGACACGCTCCCTCAGCAGGCCGCGGTCCCCGGCTGCCGGGCACGCTCCCTCAGCAGGCGGCGGTCTCCGGCTGCCGGACACGCTCCCTCAGCAGGCCGCGGTCTCCGGTTGCCGCTCGGCCGGCGCCGGAGCCGCCACAAACACCTGTGCCAGGTTTTCGTAGTCGTAGGGCCGGTTGAGCGCGGCGTCCAGCAGCCGCACACCGGTGACCGGCTGCAGACCGAGCCGGCGCGCCGTGAGCGTGAGAGGTACGGTGGCGCTGGCGCCGGCCGCCAGCCGACCCAGCGGCCGGCCGCTGACCCCGCGCCATACCAGACCGGCCGACGGAGTCTCCAGACGCAGCGCCAGTGCCAGCGTGCGGTCACTGCCGGCGGAGACACTGTCAGTCGCGGCCGCCAGTGCAGTCGATCACTATCGGCAAACACACGGTCACTACCGGCGGACATCGGTCGCGGTCAGACGTGCCGGGCCGATCGGCGGACTGGCGGTCGGGTACTGCCGGGCGCAGTCACGGCCGCCCTGGTCTGACACACCGACACACCGACCGCTAACGACCCAGCCGAGGACCACCGATCGTCTCTCAAATTCATGTCAAATCAATCATCGTGACGTGGTATGATGGATCGGCTATTAAGCACGCAAGCATCGTACTTTTAACCTGAGACCTGGGCAAATTGTCCTGCTGCTCAGAAAATGCCGATCACATTCACCATTCCACAGTGCACGAGTCGCAGTGTTTCCTATTTCGCTACACAACATACTCTCCTCTGGCAGCGATACGGCAATCAGTGGGAAGGTAGTGCGCCGCTGACTGACCTGGCGTTGTGCACGCGGCACGTGAACGTGAACGTCTGGTCGAGAGCTACCACACTGGGGATGTCCTCAATGGTGAGCCGCAGGTCCCCGTAGGTCGGCGCCTGGAACACAGCACGACTGTAGTGGGCACTGGGCAGCGGTCTCCATCACAGTTCACGTCTGACACGCATCTGCAGTCTTCAGCTGCAGCTGAACTAAACACACTAATTATTGCAGGGTTTGTAACTGGAATTTTTCTCGGCATAAGAGCGACGAGATTCGTCACTGCTACCCACTAAATGCAGCTAACGGACGGCGTCCAACCACAGTGGCTTCGTCTCAAACACGCTCGACATCGTGGCATTCCCGTAAGGGTAACTATGTGACCTGACTAATGGAGAGAACCTCGGTCCATGACTCCTCATGGCTCATTCAAACTTTGTTCCTGCACATTACAACTGTCAACGCATCCCCTCATTCAAAGCTAAAAACTCTCCCTTCTCTCTCATATCAGCCACTGCAAGGCGCAAGCATCCCCGCCGCTCCCCGCAGAGGAGGCATATCATCCCCGCCGCTCCCCGCAGAGGAGGCGTACCATGCGCTGCAGCTGACTCGTCTGCAGCCGGCCGCGCTCGCCCAGGTTGGTGCGCCACGTGATGTCCAGTTTGCCCATGTTGGTGACGCCCTTGAGCTGTTTGGCGGAGGCGAGCCGCAGCTCGGGCCGCGGCCGCAGACAGAACAGGTACTGCCGGCTGTCCTGGGGTCCCAGCCAGCCGCTGGCGCCGAACACAGAGCCGTCCCCCTCCGCGCTCGTGTTCAGGTCCACAGCTGCCGGTGCAACGATAGAAATAGATAAACGGACAGACAATCAGTTACTTGAAAACTTACTTCTTAAAAAGAAATAAGTACGCATGTAAAAAAGAGTAAAACGGCAAAATTGGGATAGGGGATAGGGCAAAAAGTTATACTGATTACATAACCGCATGGAAAAACAACACATTCGAAGTGAATTTGGTTCTCACGCCATTACTTTTCTCACTTTTAGACTGAATTCGTTCCACAGTGCCAAGAAAGTGATCCTACTGTCGGCGGCATCTCACCGTCAAAGAGCGGCGACGGCTCCAGAGTGACTGTCTCCATACAGATGGCGGATGGCGTGACGTTCTGAATCTGCGCCTCCAGACACACCTCGTCCGACTGGAAAAGACAGCCGCGGCTCAGTCTCACTAGTAGGAACGGACAGCCGCGACTCAGTCACAACAGATGGAACGGACAGCCGCGGCTCAGTCACACTAGTAGGAACGGACAGCCGCAGCTCAGTCACACCAGATGGAACGGACAGCCGCGGCTCAGTCACACTAGTAGGAACGGACAGCCGCGGCTCAGTCACGCCAGATGGAACGGACAGCCGCGGCTCAGTCACACTAGTAGGAACGGACAGCCGCGGCTCAGTCACACTAGTAGGAACGGACAGCCGCGGCTCAGTCACACCAGATGAACGGACAGCCGCGGCTCAGTCACACCAGATGGAACGGACAGCCGCGGCTCAGTCACACCAGATGGAACGGACAGCCGCGGCTCAGTCACACCAGATGAACGGACAGCCGCGGCTCAGTCACACCAGATGGAACGGACAGCCGGCGGCTCAGTCACACCAGATGGAACGGACAGCCGCGGCTCAGTCACACCTGATGGAACGGACAGCCGCGGCTCAGTCACACCAGATGGAACGGACAGCCGCGGCTCAGTCACACTAGTAGGAACGGACAGCCGCGGCTCAGTCACACCAGATGGAACGGACAGCCGCGGCTCAGTCACACCAGATGGAACGGACAGCCGCGGCTCAGTCACACCAGATGGAACGGACAGCCGCGGCTCAGTCACACCAGATGGAACGGACAGCCGCGGCTCAGTCACACCAGATGGAACGGACAGCCGCGACTCAGTCACACCAGATGGAACGGACAGCCGCGGCTCAGTCACACCAGATGAACGGACAGCCGCGGCTCAGTCACACCAGATGGAACGGACAGCCGCGACTCAGTCCCACCAGATGGAACGGACAGCCGCGGCTCAGTCCCACCAGATGGAACGGACAGCCGCGGCTCAGTCACACCAGATGGAACGGACAGCCGCGGCTCAGTCACACCAGATGGAACGGACAGCCGCGGCTCAGTCACACCAGATGGAACGGACAGCCGCGGCTAAGTCACACCAGATGGAACGGACAGCCGCGGCTCAGTCACACCAGATGGAACGGACAGCCGCGGCTCAGTCACACTAGTAGGAACGGACAGCCGCGGCTCAGTCACACCAGATGGAACGGACAGCCGCGGCTCAGTCACGCCAGATGGAACGGACAGCCGCGGCTAAGTCACACCAGATGGAACGGACAGCCGCGGCTCAGTCACACCAGATGGAACGGACAGCCGCGGCTCAGTCACACCAGATGGAACGGACAGCCGCGGCTCAGTCACACTAGTAGGAACGGACAGCCGCGACTCAGTCACACTAGTAGGAACGGACAGCCGCGGCTCAGTCACACCAGATGGAACGGACAGCCGCGGCTCAGTCACACTAGTAGGAACGGACAGCCGCGGCTCAGTCACACCAGATGGAACGGACAGCCGCGGCTCAGTCACACTAGTAGGAACGGACAGCCGCGGCTCAGTCACACTAGTAGGAACGGACAGCCGCGGCTCAGTCACACTAGCACACCTCATCCGACTGGAACGAACAGCCGCGAGTTCAGTTACACCAACAGAGACACACTACGGTGGTCAGACACGTCTCAACCACACCACAGCATCAGCCCAGTCATACTGAGGCACATCAGCCGCGAGCGAAAGCGCAGCTGATTCTGCTGAAATACGGGCCATGGCTCTATCTCCCAGGAAAGCTCATATCAACTAGGGCCACGTAGTAACGTCTCGGAGGCCGAAATAACTATAATTATACCCAGCAATCGGTCCTATCCCGCTCATGCACCGCCAAGGTGTAGCAACTGATGCTGAAATAAGGCAGAAAAAGCAGTGCTCGCACCGTTTTGAATAGCCACACATACGACAATCGCATACTGGCACCCGAGCGTCCACGTTGGAGTACAGAAGCTAACATATCCATACCAAACGCCCCAGCAATGCAGTCAAACACGTGCATCACTTACAAAGACAGCGTTTTCATCATACTGAAAAAGAGATCAATGTGGTCAATCAGTGGCTTTTAAGGGAAAGCCAATGTACAGGGTAGAGCCTCCAAAGAGAGCAGCGTGATTTACAGTCGCACGGTTCCACCGGGCTCGGGCAGGACTGCCGCGGCGCCACCGCACTCACACCTACCGAGCGTGATAAAGTGGGCACATGGTCGAGGATTTCAGCACACCATTACGTGCTCGAGTGCCTTTTCTGCTGTCTGGGCACATGGTCGAGGATTTCAGCACACCATTACGTGCTCGAGTGCCTCTTCTGCTGTCTCAAGGCTTATTGCAACGATTCATGGGATTCTTATTAAGCGCACGAAACTAAAAAAAAAACGGGCTCATATTTCACCGCTTATATGCTAACCGCCTAACTTTGCCCTTCATAAGCATGCTGGCAATTTGAAATTACGCGCACCGCCACTGCTCCTATGATCCATATGGAGTCATGAACAGGTGCGCCCACCATGCGACCTAAATGATCGGGCGATCGAGCTCCGGTGGGGGGGGGGGGGGGGAGAGGGGTCCGTGCGCTTTCAGCTGGTCGGGAACGGACCCAGGTGCGTGCACGTGCGCACAGAGGAGGAGGGGCATGACTTAGATATGAGACAGGACATCGACATGTGCCGACTGAGGCAAATGACGACAATCAATGATGTCCCACTGCAGAGCTGAGACTAATGACATTTGTGATTCATGATCCAGTCGACGTAGGAACGCGTACCCACGCCTATTTTCGCTATTTTCGTGAGCTCGTTAGACCTACATTTCGTTACGATAAGAGGGAAAGGAAGGATTAATTTCAGTAGAACAATATGCATAGGAGGTAGAAAACCGCGGCTTAACCCTCGCTAGCACATGCCATTTTCCCATTCCAGAACGCACACAAGGGGGTGTAATGTGTATGTCTGTGTCTGTGTGTATACTGATGTGTGCACCGATTGGTTTGTGTGTCCCTATTACATGAGATCATGAACTGAGAAGCTTTTACCAAAAATGCAGTCAAAGAAAGTTCACGAAAAGTTAATTCAGCTTGCCAAAAACGCAATGTGTTTAAAGACCTAGGTTGACCTTGACATGGCGGCGGAACGGGGAGGGCACCGGGGCACCGTGCCCCCCTTTAATTTTGGCATTTTAACATTAGCCCTATGGGCGTTGCATGGAAAGAATGGGACCAAAAGTCGGCAGTGTCCCCCTTTGATTGAAGGTGTTCCGCCGCTACTGGACCTTGACCCTGACCCTGAGTCCTGACATCTGTACGTTGTCGAACAAGATGTTTCATGATAGGTGGGAGGTAAGACTGGCAAAAAAGTCGAAATCAAGGTGTCAGAAGCTCACAAGACCCATAGCCAACGCAAGATGTTGAGTATTGGTCATTTGGGTCATGACATGACCTGAAAAACAAGGTCATATCTCCGAAACCAAAAACCACAGGAACTTGAAACTTTCAGTGGACGCTGGGAAGGCATAGAAAAGCAGCTATACGAGAAATCAGGCTTGTAGCTTTAAAAATGCTTAATGCAGAGCAGAAAACTACCTGGCGAGGGGTGGCATCCCCCCCCCCATGTGCGGGCGAGGGTTAACAGCTCACCTCCCCGTTGTATAACTTTGTTTTGACGTCGAGGGGTTTGAGGACCTCGAACTTGAAGAACTTGCGGAAGAACATGTTGACGCCCGCCTCGGTGGTGTAGTTGATGGCGCACACGAGTCTGGGGACGGTTTTTGGCAGCAGTGAGGGTCAGGTCGTGCCAGTGGTGACTGCACAGGGACACAGTTTACCGTCTCTGTTGGACAGTCTGCCGGTCCCGGCGAACATTGACTTGGTGTTAGGAACCGGCAAGTCGGAAATCATGTCAACAACCCTTTAAGATAGGCGGTTTAGCTACCCTGCCGACTTAACGAAGCAAAAACAAATAGGGACCATGATGTAGCCCAACAGACCGTTAGAACAGCCTCAGCGGGCTCTGTAAAAGATCAATCCTTCGTACGACGCGCGCACTCCATACCAGGCGTCATTCTTGAACGGCGCGCGCCACCGAGCTCGGATGACTCACATGTGTGCGCCGGTGTCCTTGACCTCATGTTGGATGAGGTGGTCGCGGCTGGCGGCCGGCGCCAGGCTGGCCGGCCGGTCGGCGCCGGCCGTGGGTGTCAGAGTCAGCCGCTGGGAGCCCGTCTGCAGTTCGGCGCGCACCGTCAGCTCGCACGCCGTGGCGCCCGTGCTGTGGTTGTGCACCGACAGGTAGCACGAGAACGTCTCGCCCAGGTAGATACTCCTGCGGGAGAGAACGTGGAACGACAGGGTCAGACGAGATTTGTCCGCGTGATAAACCGCTGTAGATAATCGGAAAAAGTAAAGGAATAAAACAAAGGGAACATATGTGAAAGGAATAGCTAGGACAAAACATAAAAGCAAAACAGATAATATGATTAAGTAATTGTGCGTTAGAAACCAATTTTGGTGTTTTTACGTTATCATATATAATATGCTCTAGCAATGTCGCACTTGTATGTGCGTGAGCAATGAGCATTCCATGTAGAGTAGAGCGCCGCACAGTTGGAAAAAGTACAATAATGTCTCTGTGTCGGTCGCTCGCTCCGAGCCGCGCCGACCCTCAGTGGGTGGGGTGACACCAGCGGGGTGGCCGGCAGGAGCAGCCAGCGGGCCGCCGGAACGAGCACCGGCGGCGCGCGGGGTGGGCGGAGCGCCCCCGGCCACGGCACCCCTATCGACCGGCCCGGGCGGAAACCGCTAATGCGCGGCTCTCGGACTCCCCTCCCCGACACAAAGCGCGGGGTGACTGCACGCATTGTGTATGTACAGATACAGGGCCGAAAGGCTCCAGTGCACTGCCATATTCGCGCGGTCCAATCTTAGTTTGCAGCTAATGTCAACATCTGCACCCTCAACCATTCGACATTTTCAATGAAATAGAATATACAAAATTAGACTGAAGAGAGTCATTCAGAGTTAACTCAGCAGATTCTTTTCACACGTCCCACCCAGTGCCCGACCCCAGAGGTTTTCCCTGCCCAGGCCAAAAACGTCACCACCACGTGAATCGCCCCAGCCCGCCGCCTTCCCGAGCACGCGAGCCAGGCCGCGTATCTGCAGGATTTCCGGGGTGGCGAGCCGTGCCCCCCGCTGACCGGCGTCCATTAGACCAGCTTCCTGCCAGAGGCGGAACCGGGCAGAGCCGGAAAGGCCAACACGCCGTCGGCAAGACGGGTGTCGACACAAAGGAGGTGACGTATAGGCAACTTTTCCGTAACGGTTCGCTAGTCATGTGTCTGGTGGAGGGAGGTGTCTGCGACGATTGGCAGGCGGCGCTCACCCGAAGCTCTGCGGCAGGAGGAGCATCTCGCCGAGCTGCAGATGCGGCAGGTGCGGCAGGCGCGTCACGTCCGGCGCCGCCGACAGCGTGGTGCCTGGCAGGTCGCGCGGGTCGCACGACACCACCGGGTTACTGTAGAGCGTCGGCCGCGTCAGCCGCATCACTGCAACCATCGGGGGACTAACACGTCAGCGGGCGCACAGAATCACAGGAACACAGCTGACAGACAGCGGTCACCCTGATATTATTGGGCGACATTACTTCTTAACAGACATGTGCATGGATCCGAGTGATGGATCTATGATCTCAATGGATATCGAAGCAAACTGCAGGTTAGGACCTATGATCCTACCGGATCCGACGTGAAAAAATTTATTCTGGATCTTTGATCTCTAAGGATCTGACGATTAACCAAGAAAATGGATCTTTGATCTGAGTGGATCCCACCATGCACAACATTTGGAACCAGGTTTCCAAGTGTTTCTATGTCTAATTGCCACAAAACTATGGATTGGGACGCGCAATCGCATGAAATCACTAATATCGAGCGTTTTGAGTTGCATTAAGTGATTTTTTTATTTCTGTGTTGAAAAAAGTAAACGAGGATCTATGACCTCACTGGATCTCAACCCAAAAATTAGGCTCTGATCCATGATCCCTACGGATCTCTCGATAAATTTAAGAGTTTGATCTATGATCCCGTTGGATCAGAGATCAGGATCCGTGGGATCAGATCCCAGATCCATTTTCTCTGATCCATTTTCATGTCCATCCATTTTCATGTTTGCTTTCTGAGTGCACTTAATTTGACACTAAAACACGGGCTGTCATAAACCATTTCAATTAGCTGCCAGGGGTGGCTAAATTTGACTTTGGGAGATTGGATGACATGTTCAAGCAAATCAAAGAACAAATCATGGGTGAAAGCATCACAAAAAGCAGAATAATTTCTTTTTTTTCAAATGACGGAGCCAGTCCTTGCTACGATACTATAGCAATTAATAACACGGTACGATGTGAGTGCCATTTTAATATATTCATGAGTGATGATTGCAAGTTAGCTTAGGCAATGCACATTGATTGCCAATCTGCTCATTCCACTCGAATTCTGTATACCTTGGCGTGTCCGGTGTCACCCATAAACGGAAGGATCAGGAATGCGCAGCACCCTATCGAATTAATACAGCTGGTTGCTATGGCAACACAAGGCAATATAGCAGCTGGGGTATGGTTGGGGTGGATTGTGGATTCCATGCCTGAATGAGTAAACGTTGGGTACAGTGGGGCAGTATTGAACGAATTTGGCGACGTAACGGACGCACGTCACGTAGTCCGGATACACGGATTCTCCTAAGGATTACCAAGTCATTTTGATTTTTGATTCTCAAGATCCGTACGGGCTCCGGTGCATTGCATTACATAGTGAGGAGTGAGGAGTGAGTGAGCAGCGATTGATCATGTCAGAGTTGACACTCAGCTCCATCCGCTGTGATACGCTGTCACGGGAAACAGCCGAGAAGCGGCTGCAGCAGCGGCGTCGCGCCCTTCTGGTGCTAGTTTTGGACTACCTGCGCAGTGAAGGCTACACCGAGGCAGCCGACGCACTAGTCACCGAGGCCCCGCCTGGCATAAGAGAACACCGCGTCTGCGACAACACCGACCTCGACGTAGTGTTTCAGGATTACGAGGCGTACTACCAGCTGCGCTACGGTCGGCTACCAAAAGTGACCAGGCGCGATGGCGGCGGCGAGCCGAACGGCGCGTCCGGCGAGCCGCGCCGAGTGAAGCCGCGCACCCGGCCTCGCGCCGCCGTGCTGGGGCGTGCCGGCGACCCGACCCCGGCACCGGCGCCTGCAGAGTTCGCACTGCGCGGGCACGCAGCCGGCCGCGGGGAGGGCGAGGAGCATGACGAGACGGACACAGCCGCCCTGCCGGGCCGGCGGCGAACGCTGCAGCTGCCGCCGCCGGCTGGGCCCGAGCTGCAGGCCATGGCCGCTATGGTGTCGCGCGACCTGTTCCTCGACGAGCCGGGCGTGCGCTGGGAGCACATCGTCGGTCTCGAGTCGGCCAAGCGAGTGGTGCGCGAGGCGGTGGTGTACCCGCTGCGCTACCCGCGCCTGTTCGCCGGCCCGCTGGTGGCCCCGTGGCGCGCGCTGCTTCTGTTCGGCCCGCCCGGTAACGGTAAAACGCTGCTGGCCAAGGCGGTGGCCTCCGAGTGCCGCACCACCTTCTTCAACGTGTCGGCGGCCACGCTGGTCAGCAAGTGGCACGGCGACTCGGAGAAAATGGTCCGGGTGCTGTTCGAGCTGGCGCGCGCCCACGCGCCGTCCACCATCTTTCTGGACGAGCTGGACGCATTGATGGGTCAGCGCGGCGCGGCCACCGAGCACGAGGCGTCGCGTCGGCTCAAGTCGGAGCTGCTGGTGCAGCTGGACGGACTGTCGGCCGGCAGCCACGGCGCCGCGCCGCCGGCCGTGTTCGTGCTGGCCGCCTCCAACCTGCCCTGGCAGCTGGACCAGGCGCTGCTGCGCCGGCTCGAGAAGCGCGTCCTGGTCGGGCTGCCGTCGGAGCGCGAGCGGGCGGCCGTGTTCGAGCGCTGTCTGGCCGACTGGCCGCTGGCGCCAGGCCTGTCGTTTACGGGCGCGGCCGCGGCCACCGAAGGCTACTCGGCGGCAGACATTCGTCTGGTGTGCCGCGAGGCAGCCATGGCGTCGCTGCGCGCCCTGCTGCGGCGGCTGGAGGGGCGCGCGGGTCAGGCCGGCGCGGCCGACGGCGCCCAGCTGGCCCGCTCGGAGCCGCTCACCGAGCAGGACCTGCTGACGGCGGTGAGCCGGTGCCGGCCGGCCGGCGCCGCCCACTGGCAGCGCCACCTCCACTGGAGAGAGACGTTCGGCGCCGAGTGACACGGTGAGCCGGCCCGGCGAGCAGCGCCGACCCGCGGAGGCACACCCGACCAGCCCAGTGCGGCACTTCTCAGACCTGGCTGAGCAACCCACACAGCGATCGCCGTTCACTGCCAGCTTCACGACGGGCCGCAATGGACTGTGGATGTTACACAACACAACTGCAATGTATCCATCGCTGTGCCACGACTGCAATAACGAGTGCATTGTTCAGCTAATTGTGCTGATACAAAGAAACGCAACAAAGGATTGTTCATGAGACCGGTAATGCTTAAGTGGTATCACATTTTGCCAAGTGCCTTTTGAAATAGGTTAAGTTTTAGTTCATCTCCGCCAAACTTCTAGCCAATTCAAAAACGCAATTCACAAAATCAAGACACATGCACCGATTTAACAGTGAATACTAATTACGCACTCTCTAAACCGGCACAGGCACAGCCTTCCAAAACATGTGAAGTATCTCAAAACGGGCAGCTGTTCAGAGGCCAGTTTTACCAACAGAAAGGTAGCCCATTGCCGGATTTTTTTTTTTTTTTGCCTAAAGACTGCTTTACATACGGAGCGTAAACGGTAAAGCCCTATCCGCTTACGTGCCCAGCGCGCTTACGCTCCGCATGTGAAGCGGTCTTAACCCTCGCAGGCCGAGGGGGGCGGGTGCCGCCCCCCCCCATAGGGTTTTTTCGCGATAACTCCGAACACGCTGGCGATAGAGAGCTGAAACTTGGCATACCTGACCTTTGATCCAAGCCGCATCTTTTGACACCAACCGCATTTTTGGGTCAGGTCAGGTCACTGACCTATGACGTCATAAGTGAACCTCTGCACGGTCTTCAGATGTCGCAACTTCGCAACGCCCTCACTGCCAGAGGAGATGTCACAGGGAAATGAAACTTGCAGGATCTAGTATCCATTATGAGTCTCACAACTTGTATATCTCGGATTTTTCCTAAAGGTCATATGAGGTCAGGTCATTTTCGTGACCTCACCATTATAAGTCAATGGGGGAAAATGAAAACTGCTATTCTGGCGCCGGGAACGATCTCCAACTATCTCAAGCACACAGAATCGTGATTTGATGCACTCCTTGCAAGGTTAGATGCGTCACTTTTGCAATGTTGACCTTGCGTGACGTCATTTATGACGTCATCAAGGTCATATTAGTTTTTCGTAAATAGCTCCCGAGCAAATTGAGCTAGCGAGTCGCGAAAGCCACCAATGGACTCAGGAAGACCTGCCGAATCGAATGATATGCGACATGACCTCTTTCGACCAACTTCGTGACCTGGGGGTGCTGACCTGACCTTGACCTGAGGTCAACACCCTAAGTTGACCTGACCCGAACAAAAAGTATATCATTCGACGCGCCTGAGCGAGGCGAACACGATGCTGCCAAAATCGCGGCTCTGCGGCCGTTTTTTGAAGTTATTCACCAAAAACTGAACCGTACCCTGGGGCACTTGACCTGACCTCAGAGGTCACCGGTTGACCTAGGACCTTAAAATCGGGTACCAATGTCTGCGTCTCGTAACGGCGCACACGCTCGTTTTTTCCGCGACGCGCTAGCTCCACCAGGGGCGAAACGGCGAGGGGGGGTCGTACCCGCCCCCCCCCCCCCTCGGCCGGCGCGTATGTAGAAAACCAATAGGTCCGGCGAGGGTTAAGGCAAAAAATTCCGGCAGGCGGCTATTTTTCTGTTGATAAAACTGGCCTCAGGTCAAGAAGTTGGCCGATTGAGTCATGTTGCATATCGTTCAATTTGGCACTTGACTCTGGGTCATCAGTTTCCTCTCTAAGCTACTCTCTAAGCTACAGATGGGTAGAAAGATTTACCTCTTTTTATATTTCGGTCCCGAACGAAGATATGGAATTGATTTTTGGTTCCTATATTCAGTAACATGTATGTAGGGGAAAACCGTCCAAAACGCCCCCCCCCCCCTTTAGGAAAAACGGCGTGTCACCGCTAAACAGGTTATTTCACCATGCGTCATTAGATATTTTGTTTGTCTTATCTTCCGACAATTGAAAAAATAATACGCAAGGCACTTGGATGATGCATTTGGCAAGAATGAGCTTTTGCAAGACCTCTGCAAACGGGGCGTTTTACATCACGGGTGTTGTAAAACGCCCCACTTTGGTTGTCACCTGTTGATGAGTTTTGTTTGCATACCTAAATATTGCATTTAGGTAATATTTCGTTTTCAGCCGTACTATTCTACTCTAATGTTTTGGTAAGTAGAAACTTATTAATGTCAGTAGCATGGCCTTCGGAGAATAGAGTTAGATGAAGTACCGTTTCGAAAACAAACGATGCTTCAGCATTTGCAAGCAAAGTTATCTCGCTCAATAAACTGACCCATTGCAAAAAACACACTGTTTCCAATATTTTTGTCACCTCTTTACCCGACAGCAACAATGCATCGCAATTAAGCCACTTTTGGAATGTAAGACAATTTTCATGTGAAAGTGGTATGGGCCTTTTGGAAACGAATTATTTGGAGCAAAACGTTTTGGAGCGAATTTTACAATGCCTCTGTGTGCCTGTGTGGCGACATATCTGATGAATCAGCAAACATGGAACAGTCATTACGCACTGCTTTTGGTAGACAATGAACAAAGACAATGAACTATGTAGTCTTGCTTACGGAAGCATCTCAGATCAAAGTGACAACTGAACAGGTGACTTCGTAAGATGGCAAGGAGCTATCAGTGGTGGTTGACACCTAGGTACTATGAATATCCGGTAGGATCCCTACTGGTTGACCTGAAATGACCTTACCCAATCTGGCTTAAATGCATTAACCCTAGAACGCCTAGGGGGGGGTTGTATCAACCCCCCCCCCTGAGGTTTTTTTCGAAGTGCACGCTAAACGGCTTGTCGTAGCGGGCTGAAATTTTCAATGCCCTCTGGGGCAACCTTTGCGCATCTTTTGCAGAAAAAAATTGATCGGGTCATGTCAGGTCACGGAGTTATGACGTCATAAGAGGTACAGCCTCCGGCCGGATTTTCACAAACTGAGTGCCAACGCCCGAGGTTTCCTGCCGGTGGTACGGACATCGGTTGATGGATCGTGATGAAACTTCCCATGCATGTTGGGGCAAGTATTGGCTATCATATGGTATAAGAAATTTGACCGGGTCAGGTCAGGTCACGGAGCTATGACGTCACAAGAGGAACAGCGTCCGGTACTATTTTTGAAAAGCGCCCGAACCACTATTTTGCTAATTCTTGTCACCTCAATGGGAATATGCAGCAATATTAGCTTCTATAGGGAGCAAATGGACCTCCCAAATCCAAAAATACAATTAGATTTCAAAAATTTAAATTTTGATTTTTCGAATTTCTGCCGCCGACTGTGACCTTCCCGACTTCCGGCGCTCCCAACGCGCCATTTTTAGAGCTAGGGAAACGAAATACATACCAAACGATAGAGAATTGATCAAGGAACACAATGGTGAAGGTTTCAAGTCGATATCTTCCACCGTTTTGCCGCAATCGCCGCCGAAAGTTGAAAAAGTCTATTTTTCCGAAAATTTGACCTTTGACCGGTCAAAAGTAGGTCAAATGTTGACCTAGGACCAAAAAATATACCACCAATCGCGAGATCTCGTTGAGAGCAATCCGTTGGTTTTTTCCGCTAAGCTCTACGACCTTCCGTTTCGAAACGCCAGGGGGGGGTCGTAACAACCCCCCCCCCCCCCCCTGGTCGTTCGTGTTATGAGAAATGGCCTGGTCGTGCGAGGGTTAAAACATCATCTGTGATCAAAACTGACATGAAATTCGTGATCAGAACCCCGAAAAAAAAACATAACAGCCTCAATTTACGAAATTCTGACAGGTCCCGATTTTCCCGACTTTTGCATCATTGACCTGACCTGGAAGGTCAACCAATGAACCTAGGACCTTAAAATTAGGTATCAGCAACTATCTCTCGTCACGGGCAACACGCTCATTTTTTACGCGAAGCTCTAGCTCGATCACGGGCCGAGCGGCAAGGTGGGGGTCCAACGGACCTGCCCCTCCCCCCCCCCCCCATACGTTCGCGGGTAGTAAAACACCAGTACGGGCAAGGGTTAATTACATTGTAAACATTTTTCACGGCAACGCCGAGCTGTTCGTTATCGCCTCGGAAGCTGTGGCCAGTCTGCTTCAGCGCTGCCATTTGGACTGCCTATGTAATCTTCACCATAACTCATCAACAACTGTGACAAGTTTAAAAAAGAATGGACAAATTTAAAAATGAACAGAGTGAAGGGATGGTACTATTGGTCTCGAGATAAGGGCCCAGGCGACCTGTAGTTCGGATGCGGTGAATACCCTTACCCTCGCCACAGCTCGAGTGGGAGTGGCCGCTGGGTGGGAGGAGGGGTGCACTCGGCCCGACCTGTGGCGAGGGTAAGGGCATTCACCGCATCAAAACTACAGGTCGCCTGGGCCCTTATCTTGAGACTAATAGTACCAAGGGGTTTACCAATACATGGGGAGGCAGGCCCTCAGCCGAGAAGGATTAAAATAATATGAATGGGTAAATTTGGAAAAAAATACAATGGGTAACATGTGAAAAAATTATGCATTGGAAAATAACTGTCAAAGATACCCAACAGAAATGGCATATAATGAAATGCATTCCTACCTTTTAAAGCAACAATATGTTCTTCCTTGTTGTCCATCTTCTGTTCCGTCAGGTTGAGTCACAATTCTGGAAGCTTTGACTAATTAACCTGGAGGCAGACAGGAGAATAGTCGTATAATTTCAGGTTTGTTGACAGTGACCAGCAAGTGACAAAACTCAAGGACATTGCTTTTAACTTATTTACAATTAATTATTCGAATGACAGTCAGCAATTGCTTATTTATTAATTCATCAGAAAACAAGGACAGGGCAGGGCCCACTAACCCCTAGAGTCAAAAGTTTCCATGCAAACACAAACACAATCACATGTCCATTCAAACACACATGCATACAAACATCTACATCCATGCCTAAATGCTAACATCTAGATGAAATGTATTGGTATAAATAGGTGCATAAAGATATGATGATTGATGGTAAAACGGAATGTTGAGGGACAGCGGGGTGACAAGGGGAAGGGAGTGGGACAGTTGCATTGGAAAAACTGAGTCAAATTAAGTTCCTAATTTGAGAAGGTTAAATAAAAACTTGAGTGTGGTGGTTGACACTGTTTTGTTCTTGGCTACAGGACAAAAATGGCACAGCTTTTCATGCAAGTGATTTGGTTGAAAAATGGTTTTGAAAATCATGCTACCTACATTTTCACAAAATTGAAACATCTCCAAAACCCTGTGTGTCTCACAGAAACTATAATAGGTGTCCAGGGAAAATGAATGCATAGGTGTAATCAGGGCACTAAAGAGGCAGTGTAATGTCACATGTAATGCACATGTTTCCTGAAAACGTTATAAATATCAGACCATTCATAATCCTCTTTCTTTTTTACCAGATACCTACATGCATATTTTGGGGTAGCCGGTAGAAGTGGTGTGCTTAGGGACAGGGAAGAAAAAATAGAAAATAATATCTAAATATAATTTATTAAGTTTTCTTTCCGTAGGCATTGAAAGCACTAAATTCAACATAAAATGCTGGCAAGCTCATGCTTTTATATCTAACACATCTAAAGTTATATAACAAAACATCTCAAAACTCCCTTAACCCGCGCCCCACGGGGGGGGGCTATTCATAGCCCCCCCCCCCTCCCGTTTTTCTGCAATAACTTCCAAACCACTTGACGTATCGACGCCAAACTTTCAGTACCTTCGGCTGCATCAATTTGACACATTGTGTCAAAATTTGAACTTCGTAGCTACCATAGGTCGGCCGAAAATGACGTCAGAGTGACGTCATGTTCGGCCGATTTCGACGCAAAACATTGAACCACGGCAATCGCTCCCAAGAGCTCAGTTTTTAAGCTAGATCCAATTTCTTTGCATGAAAGGACTCAGAATTGACTGCGCTATCAAACTACTATCTCGGGTTTTCAAAATTTTGAAAATTTCGGGAAAAAATTATAATAATATTCAAAATTTATATTTTTTATATTTTTTCAATTTTTTCTATTTTTCGAGAAAAAAAACGGAATATATATGACAGAACGCATGCTTATGACTAACTCTAGCAAGTTTTAGCTAAATATCTTCAAAAATGGCCAAGTTATACGCATTATGGCAAAAAAATCCACAATTATTAATTTTTAAAATCAATTTTTCAGTAAGTATTTGACATCGTACACCAATATAAATAGCACCATCGTGTTCCTGAGCTCAAACTGCATCGAATAGACACCTTTTTTGTTGAAAAATTTTAACTTGAAAATTTGACCTTTTTGACTTGAAAGTGACCTGACTTAAGTAAATTCGACTCAAAATGACCTCGAACGACACAGACGACATCAAATTCGAAATCTATGGCCTAAATGGACCATAAAACATGTGTCACGTGACCGACGCATGATATAATATTTCCGTGACCTGTGATGACTGACCCCGACCTGAAAATCAAAGTACAAGTTTGGTACCCTCAGGGTATCTACACCTTTTTTCCTTCAGTTTGAAAAAGTTGTAGCTCAATTTGAAAAAGATGTAATTCAATTTGAAAAAGGTGAACTTCAATTTGAAAAAGATAAAATTCATTTTGAAATGAAATAAATTCAAGTTGAAAAAGATGAAATTCAATTTGAAATAGATAAAGTTCAATTTGGAAAGAAACCATGTTGAGTAACTTAGTAGGGGACGGTGCCCAAATTGCGCCATGCTTAGCTTAATTAACTATTTCTTGTAAAGGGATGGGCGGAGAGCTGGTTAACGTCTTCTATAATTCGTAATTTGATAAAGTTGCTCTAAAAAATGCCCTTACCACACTTCTTAAATCAGCCGCGAATTTTATATTAAATTTCTAGTAAACCCTTGCAAAAGGCGCAATTAGGGCACCCCTGCCCTAAAATCGCCAGACCTTGCCCCATTTGCGCCACCATCTAAAGATCTCTCTCAAAAGCAGATTTTGAATAACTAAGTCACCTCAAAAGTTAATACAGACGATTTCCGCATCCATAAATTAAGCAAGGCGATTTTTTGTAATTTACTTTTGATGACAGCATCACCAGTTCTCTGGACACTTCTACAAGGTGTCCAGAATGGGTCCGCCTAAAGGTGTAGTGTCCAATTGTCCATACATCTGGACGCAACTAATCGGCGACCAAAATCACACGTCACAAATCACGGAAACCATTTGCTGAGCATGTCTAATTGTCTATACAGAACTGGTGGCTTTACCCATTACACAGTGCATATTGCAAATGGGCCACTCGACAGGTGGCGCAAATATAGAACAATGGCAGCGTTTTAGCGTTACGCTTCATGTTTGGCAAACAAAGACTTGTTTCAATCCATTTTCAGGGCAGAAAATCGGAGAAATAAGCGCTTTTGAAGCGCAAAGTATGTATTTTTAGTATTTGCTTCAATCCAAGAATTTTCATCAATAATATTCATGGGTACGAGCACACTATATGTAGTGTGCTCTCATCCGAGCCCGATACGTTTCAAAATGAATTACATCTTTTTCTATTTGTATTTTAACTATTTCAAAAAGAATTTCATCTTTTTCAAATTGAAGTTACCTTATTTCAAATTGAAGCACAATTTTTTCAAATTGAACTGCATCTTTTTCAAATTGCGCTTCAACTTTTTCAAACTGAAGGAAAAAAGGTGTAGAGCATCTGTTCACGAGTGTGTAAACCAAAAAAGAGCCTGATCTGACTTGTAAGACGGCGGCCAGAGCCCAAAATATGAACAAGCCAAAATGCTAATAATTTTTACTTTGACCTGACCTGTGACGTCATCGGTGACCTCGAGGTCAATGAAATTAGGTTTCGCTCGGCAGTTTTTCCGGGGCTATCAGACGCCGTTTGAATTTTGACGATCGGCCCAGTAGTTTCGGAGTTAGGAGGGGGGCTATGGAGAGCCCCCTATTAGGGCGTGTTATACACAGACCCCAGTGGGGCGCGGGTTAACCCTCGCCCCGCTGGGGGAGCCAATTTGCTCCCCCCCCCCTGTGGTTTTTCCTGAATAGCAAGAAAACGGCGGCGCGCAGCGCCAACAAATTTTCAGTACCTTACCGGGCATCAATTTGACACCTGCACAGAAAATTTCAAGTCTTAGCTCACCTTAGGTCAGGAGCTATTGAGGTCAAACTGAGGTCATGTTCGAGCAAAAATGAGCAAAAAACATGAAACCTTGAAACGCTCACTTAAACTACAATTACTAAGCAATTTCAAAGTTCTTCATATGGTCATGTATAGAAAAGGCGGCGCTACAAAACAGCTATCTCGGATTTTCAATTTTTTTTATTTTGACCCCTATAAATTAAAAAGTTTATTTTTTTTAGAAAAACGGAAAAACATCCCAAAGGTTTTTTAAATTTAGGAAAAAACGGAATATATATGACAGGCCCTGCGCTATTCTATCTACATACCAATTTTCAGATCCATACCTCTATTTTTGGCCAAGTTATAGTGAAAAAAACTGTTCAAAATTGATGACGTCAATTTTTTAACTCAATTTTTGACAATTCTAGAGCACGTAGCGCAAAACAGTGACCACCATTGAAATCCCCGTGACGAGCTGCATCGAATTGATACCCATTTTATGCAAAAATATCAACTTTGAAATTTGACCTAATTTGACCTGACCTTGACCTGACCTTCACCAGAACATAATCTAAACTGGCCCCAAAGGCTGCCTGACCCACATAATCGCATTTGGCATATAAAATGGACAATAAAACATGCATTACATGATATTTTCATATTGTGACCCTCAGTGACCTGACCTCTGTGACCTGACCTGGTATCAGTGACCTCAAATAGCAAAATATGTGTTTGACGAACAATACCCCAGGGGTAATGATTTTCAATGAAATTCATTTTACTCGATTTTACAATGCATTTCGTCACACGCCTGTAAACGCTGAAAATTTGACATTTGAACTGACCTGTGACATCATCGGTTTGACCTAGGTCAATAAAATTGGGTCACGAGGTACCTAGTTCCCTGTTGGGGCTATCCAACGCCGTTTCCTGCTTGTCACTATGTTACGTGGTTCTCGACATCTTAGGGGGGAGGGCCAAATTGCCCCCCCCCCCAACAAGGCACGTTGCTCGGCAGACCCCAACGGGGCGCGGGTTAACATTCTGTTTTGCAATGATGGGTCAATGAAGAGGTGGGTTATAGGTACCTACCTAAATATGTTGTCCTCATAAAAATGCCAAAACAAAGAAGGCAACATAACACAATGATCAGTGACTAGCTTTCAAGGAAATAGTTACGGAGCGAGCGAAGCGAGCGGAGTCTTACGTAGAATAACGGAAATTTCTGAGTATGAGCGGCCGGCCGGCCGGCCGGCCGGCCGTGCGGACGCTTTTGCGAGGCTTATATCTCAGCAACCACTTGACCGATTTACATGCGGTAATTTTTGTAGGGCAGCTTCATTCCTTCTACCAAGTATTGGACTATTCCCGATGCATGTGGGTGACCCCTTATGCACGTGCCACGTGCAAAACGAAGAGGTGTCAGTTTTGTAATTGTTGCAATATCTCGGTACCTACTTGGCCGATTGCGCTGAAAGTTGGTATGTAGGTAGGCACCCACTAGGCACTGCATATCCATGTGCCAGAGTTGGGGTGCTGCTGCACGTGCGCACGTGCAG